TATTTTCACACAGTGATTCTGAATAATCAGCATAAAAACAATAATATATAGTTATCTCATTCACCAGGCACAACCAGATCAGTGGTTTTTGTGCATGTACAGTGTGTGATCATGCAATTAAAGCCTCTAGCAGCACAGAGGCACAACTGGTTTATATAGGCTATCTTCATTTAGCTGTACGCAACACTAAAACTCCTACCTGCACAAAAATAATGTGCCACATTATTTGAGTGCCACATTGCTGGGGTAATGAACTGTAGTTGAAGACTGAAGATTTGTAACTGAATTGCTCACTTTTTGGCTTCCACTCCCCCCCCCCTTTTTTTCCCCCAAAAACGATACATTAAGAGATTCCTTAAATGACATGCTAATAGAGATAATACCCAGAGCGATGGCACAGAAAAGACCTTCTCTTTTTAACTTAAAATTTCTACTACTATCTCATCTTCTCAACCTTCCAAATCACTCATCTGAGTGGGATCATCCACTGCTTATACGCAGTTTGATATGATCTGTAGAGCTCCCTGGCCTAAGGATTTTGTCGATACTTGTTCATTTCAGATACCAAGACAAAGGCTCTAGCTCCACAGCAGGACTAACAAAGGCACATTGCTAAAAAGGGAGCTCTAGAGATCTCCCAGTCCAAGAAAGACTATCAGCAACATTAGATCAGGTCAGCTTGACTTTATTGAGTCTTGAAAACACGTTGAGATGGATTGTCCGCCACAGCTTTGGCATTTGATTCCTACTCACTGTACTTCTAGTCATGTCATGATTTCCATATGCTACCAGAAGACAAATTAATCTCTCCCTACCACTCTGCCCCCCTCCCCCCCCCAAAAAGCTTTATTTTGGGGAAGACTTAGATGCCAAATCTAACAGTGAACAGAGTATTTTCATGAAGAAAGTATTTGCACTATTCCATCAGCTAGTTTAACTTTTCTCAGTCTAGGACAAATCATGGTATTTAAAAAGTATCTTCCAATCAGAATCTAATTTACAATAGATTTTATTGGGAAAGTAAAGTCTTTGTTTTACACTCACGGCAACTGTGTCTGTTCCAGGGAACACATGAGGGCTTCCAGGTCTGTGAAAATGTTCTCACCATGACCTAGGTTTTGCTGGGATGAAACCAGAGTGCATCTTTCTGTGACTTCATATGGAAAGTTTCATATGGAAAAATAACCCTAGTGGCCAATCTCTGGGCTAGGCTTGAAGTCAGTTGCAGTGCATTCCTACTGATCCCCTATTCATGCAGGTCTGGCAACCTATCCTGCAAAGTGCACTGTAAAGGTCACCAGGACCCTAGGCCAAATATAGCCAGAGAAAGCTCTTAAAACTCCACACTGTTCTGAAAGCAGCTACCATCTTGGTACTCCCAAGCTTCTCAAGAAACATCTAATACCCTCCTACTCCTATCCCTAACCATCTATTCTGATAATTCCTGTGCCAAGACACCAGTGTGTTGCAACTACTGGCGTCTAAATGGCAGCTTTTTTGTGCTTTGCAGCTTGCATTTCAAAATGGCTGCTCCTTTCTGAGTATAATCCTAGTGTAATTAATGTTTAAGGCACTTAACTTCTCGTTAGCCAGTACAGTCTCCAGCTGGTTCTTGAAATCTTTGCCCTTAAAACCCCGGAGAGTTGAGCACTGGTTTCTGCGACACAACAGTGTCCCGTTTCTTCTGTGCAATTAACAATAACCAGTGAGTCTTAGATAACAATGGAGGTTGAAATACCCAAGTGCTATTGAAAATGTTTAACCACAAACTAATGATACATATTTAAAAGGCCGTAGAGACTGCGAAGTTAGGCAAACCAACCAAGCTCTCACAGTTTATTTTGCAAGTAAATCATCTTAAGCAGAAATACAATCTAATTTTGCACAGGTCATACAGAAAAAAAAATCACAGTAGTTAACGTGGCTGGCTGCTTGGACCTTACTCAGAGGTTCCCAAAGTACTTGGCAAACATTAATCAGCCCTTTTTATAGAGGGATTAAGGAATTTCTGTAGTTTGTAGGTATTTTTACAAAATGTGAAGTAAGTCAGAGTGTCAGTACTGTAATCAGAAAGATAAAAGCAAGATCTGGGACCCCAGTCCTTAATCTAATTTCTGGTTAGCTCACCTTTTAATTAGATAGAGTCATGTATGTACAGCAATCAGAAACTATAATTTGGAGTACTCTAATTAAACAAACCCATTACAAAATAAAAGTATTATAGTGTGCATACTTTCAAAGCTGGAAAAGAAAACATTTGGGGATTCTGAAGAAGCAACTGCATGAAACTTAGGTTTCTTTTTGCAGCATTTAGAGTTTTAACTAGTTTAACAAGCATTTTCTATAGGAATGGCTTTATGATGCAAAGCTAAAAAAGAAGTCCTGTTTTTTACATATTATCATGATTTTGACTATAAAGAAACTGAGAACAATTTCCTAGAAAAGCTATGGCACATCTTTCTTCTCAGGGTGAAGGAAGTATAGAAACAAAGGTAAATGCTAAAAAGCAGCAGTGAGCAGTAGCCAGGGAGCTGCACTGCAGCCTTCAAGCTGCCAGGCAGCTAGTTCAACCCACACAAAACAACTGTTGCTCTTGCTAAGTTTTTCTGAGTGGTTGGTTGGTGTGACTTGTTACTGCCACATGTGCCGCTCTGATAGACTAATAAAAGAGTGACTTATTATTGCTCTCATTGTTGCTGTTGCTGTTTTCACTGGACATGACATCAATTAGCGCAGAAACTGCATTCAGCCTTGCATAATACCAAACAAAAAACCACCGCTTGGCTGGAACAGCACGCTCATGATGCCAGGCCCAATTCAAGAGAGCTTGGTGCAGGAAGGCGTAAAACTACAAAAAGAGAAAATACCTTGCCAGACAAGGAGAAGGGAGAAGAGGGATGGTCAATCCTGTGGAAATCAGGCAGCGTGGGATATGTAAGGGCCTATTTTTCACAGAAGGTTCATGGACTTTCTCCATGTGCTCTCTACTATTGGTAGAAATTGCAAAAAGGAAGGATTTCCACTATGCCTCCCTTTCTCCATTTTTGGGAAGCATCACCAAAATACTGTGTATGATGTAATGCCTCTTTGTAACATACCCATTCACAAGGCTGCAGTTACCAAGTTTATTTGGCAAACAAGCCTTCCTGGCCAAGGCTTCATCATCAGGACCTCCTCCCACATAAATACACAAACACTTTCAAAGAATTTTACACACCTTGCAGGTCTCTGGTGTGGTGGGAGATGAGCTAGTAGCACTTTTTAACATCTAGTTTGGAAGCTTAGAAATAACACTACAGAATAGGAGAAAACAAGCATAGCAGTAAAACTGAGTGAATGCATGAAAGATGGAAAACAATCTTAGTCCATGAAGAACAGATTATGCCAGATAGCTCAGACAACTTGTGCACACGCACAGAATTAGTACACAAAAGAAATGCAGCAAATTAGATTTTGCAGGAACATTATTTGTAGGTTAGTGGGTGGAAGAAGTTTGCTCAACAGATTTTTACATATCTGTTCAAATACAAAAGTTCAGATCGTTTCCTTTAGCCTCTACTCAGTGCTACTTTATAGATAGTGTTTTGCTTTCATTTATCTAGTCTTTAATGAGACTTTTGGTACTTTGCTGCCTGGAAAATTATTACTGACACTGGAAATATGGTGCCTGGTTACAAATATTGCAAAGAAGATATGAAGTTGCCAGACATATTGTAAACAGAGCATAATTACAGTATTTACAGTTGAACATCAAAATGGGAAGAGATGCCAAGTGGCATTCTACAGAGGTTAATATTGGGACTGATACCATCTAATATCTTCCTTAATAATTTGGAAAATGAAGTAAATTGTACATTGATTGAAGACACTAGACACAAGAGGAAGATGACCTACAACCCAGCAAGTGGGTAGGTTGAAAAAAAAACACCAAAAAGATCTGGAGATCTAACAGAGTGAGAGGGAAGGGTGCATTTAAGAGGAAAGCTATTTAATGTAGAAAATGTAGAATAGTAAGCTCAAGGAAAATTAACACCCATCTCAAGCAACCAAATGGGAAAATGCCAATTTTCTTTAAAAAAAAAAATCCAAGAGATTTCACAGTTTATTCACACTGAAATATGCATCAGGTGCATGCATCAGGTTTGACAACTTGTTTGCTACATTACAGCCTGATGTGATTTTAAAAGGAGTTATGGATTCACTTAAAATTTGCCTTTTAAAATAAATTTTACATTAACTTAAATGTATACTGAGTACTTATAGGAGGACCCAATTTAGAGCCCTGTTGGTTGGAATAAAGTAGCAATGTAATATAAGTAACAGGGCACAGAAAAAGCACATATGAGGTCAAGGGTGGGGATCAAGAAGCCAAAGTCTCTGATACTGTCAAGGAGTCCAAGTGTTCACTGTATACAGCAGAGTAAAATCCAAGGCTGATAATGATTTGTTAACTTTACTTTAGAAGCTAAACTATGTCTTAAGGAAAACAATCAGTTTATAAAAGAAAATAAGATTCTGATGGATATTAACAAAAAAAAAGGAAAAAAAAAACTCAAGGCTTGAATGAACACTGAAACAGGCTTACCGTATTAAATGAATACTGCATACACTAATGAATCTTAAATATCATCTGTAGGATTGAAACTGTCAAAAGAATGTGTCCTCACAATAAAAAGAATCTGTAATAATACAAGCTTGGCAAGCACAAAAACGTATTTTATGACCCAAATAAAAGCTACCATGACTGTGTTGCAGGACACCTCCTGGGTGAGTTTAAGGAATAGATTATCTTCTTTCCATCTTTATTTGGTTAACAATTCCATTCTATTAAAGTCTATTACTTCATCACATGAATGATTAACTGTAATAAAATTGAAAACTTTATCAAACTGAGTATTACTTCCTAGCACAGCAATTCAAATATGACTGATGCTTGGGAAACGGCTGACGTGATAGCAATCAACATTATTTTTTTAATGTATGCTTAAAAACCTGCTTACCAAGGGGAGCCATATATTCTGAATCCCCTCACCGTCACTTCGGAATCTTGAAGATAGATGCAGTTTGTCAGAAGAGACTGTACATTTTCATAGCTCTCTGGCTTCAGCTTAGACACAGAGGGGAAATAGTAAAAGTCCTGCTTGATTAAGTCAGCCATGAATTCCTGGTCAAAGGTCAGTTCATGATTTCCTGCTATCACAATCTTGTATTCATAGGGCAGGCTACCTAAAATAGTAAAAAACAAACAAATTACTTGTTTTGTGGAAACTTGATAAAAGACAATAGACAGACTCACAGCCTGTTACTGATTTCTATAACATGCCTACATGTTTGAAACAAATCACTTTAAGTCCTACTATATGCGACCGTAACTTCAGGTCACTTGGGATAAATGACAACTGTGTCCCTTTCAGGGCATATTATGGCTTAGCATACCCAGGATTCATGTGTTGAAACTACCTTCAATTTGTCAACCTTAAATAACAGTCTGCAGACCGCTGCTCTACTATTTACTTGTATTTAATTGCTACTTGCACGGCAAGTATCACTTACTGTGACAATCATGATAACTCAGGGGTTTGGGTTCAAAGAAAATCAACCGTAGCACTTAATAAAGCAAATCCAGTTCTCTTCTCTGGACCTGTGGTAATTATCATCTTACACTCAGAGGATCTACTGCCCTCTTTGCCCTGATATGAAGATTAAACCTTCATGTAAAACAGAGATTGGGCTGGATTGTGAGAGCTCTGCATCTCCAAGAAAAATCTTGCAGCTTGCCTCTATTCCCAGTTTCCCCCGCTCCACTTCTCAGTGACTTCCTTAGATCCATGGACTATAATTACAGTGATTCATGGTCAAGAATGTTTCACAGCCTGTTTTTAATGAAAAACCTTACAAAAACCTCCTGCTGAGGGTGAGAATTTCTATGCCTGCACACATGGGTTCTCCTGAGAATACTAAGGCAAAAAAACTTTCCACAGACTCCATGTTTGGTTATCATCTGGACTCAGCACTTGACAGTAGGGATCATCTGTCCCCAAAAGCCCAACGGATACCTTCTACATCAGCCTGACAGGAATGCAAGACCGAAACTGTGGAAAGCAGCATTCATGACCTTAGATTTTGCAGTCTTCCTTTGCACTTGGAGGAAGACAGTCACAACAAAAGATTGTGCGAGGAAGAAAACATTTCACTGAAAATGCGACCCACCTTGCACTGTAGCAATCTTATCATTTTTAACTGAAAGAAGGTAGCGTTTATAGTATTATGTAGAACTGCAGTGATGACCCCTAACTCAGAGTTGGGATGCTTACAGAATGTAAATCATCAGTCTATATGCAGTGGCAGAAGTTGGCATTAGTAGGACTGAAGAATAAAATACAACAGTGAAATTCGGGACTGCTGAGGAGAGACAGAACAGGCTTAGGCCACAGGAAGTACCACGTGGCTGGAAAAAAAATCAGTAGTTGCAAAATGAAAAAGAGTGGAAAACTCTTTAAGTGGAAATTTCACATAGTTTTAATGTCTGTATTAGGAAAACTGATCTTACAGGTTTCAGCTAACACCTAAGTACCTTTAGCAAATTTATTAACAGAAACACTCTTTAGACTTCTACGATTACATGTGAAATTCTGAAGATTCAATTAGTTACTCAAAACACTGCTTGCAATTTAAAATAGTGTCATTTCAGCCTCTGAAATGCTTAGCACCTTGTAGATGCATTCTCTAGTTCCACAATTTTCTGTGTGCACATATGCACACACACATTAAACACACAGCTTACATGCTACAATATGTATGGGCATCTACAGGCTTAAAGGGTCCTTGGGCAACATGAAATAAAATCCTGTATGCCACACACTACCGTTAACAATTCCATTTCTGTTCCGTTTTGTAAATCTTTTCCAGCTAATCTAATCCATCCATCTAACAGCCAAGAACCTGTATGAGCTGGTTATAGTTGTTGCTTCCACTAATGTATTTATGTCATGTTGCTGTCTGTGGGTGTTACTTAGGCAAATTAGCAAATTACTCTAAATGTACAGTTACATTTATTATATTGGCGGCCAGAAACACTGCTGCAGTTACAGGTCTGTCAGCTTTTCAATTAACAACTCTGTTTTTGATGAGTTTGCAGCTCAGTTACTTCCTTTCAAACCGTACTAGGCTGCAACTTGCTGAGCCTATTTCCCTCCCTTTGTCTCCAGAAGTCTCCCTTGCCCTTTGTATCTTCATTTTTTGACTAAGACAATGACTAAAGCAGGGATTTTTTTGCTGCATAAATTTAACAATATTTTGGCTAATTTCTGTTCCTCAAGAGACTTAAGAATGCACTTCACTTTCTACACTCAGCTTTCTTAGCGTAAAGTTAATACTAGGTGTACATTTTTGAAAGCTTGTTCTTGGCTGGATACTGCTCTAATGATCTATATGCATTAAACCCCCATAGAGTGGGTGCAAAGACCCTCATCTATCAGACCGCAGTATTCATGACTTTTGTTTCCGATTTTCCTTGCTTCTGCTATGATGCAGTAGCTACCAATGGTCACTCTGGCGCACATGTGGAATTGAGCACTGAATGCTAAGCACATCTCTGTGCCCTAAAAGCACAGCTCCCCTACCATTGAAGTTGGGGGGGTCCAACCTTACTGTAGCAGAAACAGAATGCAAGATGATGTGTGAGCACAACTCTGAGAAATCTTTAATGTTGCCTTTTACAGCATTAGGACCCATCAAACATTAGCAACAGCTGATGAGTACTTAGCTGGTAATTACTTAAATTATTCTGTATTTCCATGTTACATTATCCTCATTTCCTTCCATCACAAATACATCGCTTTCCTACTCTAAGCACACAGTACTGCATAATTAGTGGCCTTGGCTAGGTCCTTGGCTAGATCCAAGACTCCTCCAAGAAGACACAGCCCAAAAGGTGTTCAAAAGTGTGCCCATATTTTTAGAATATCCAGCAATCAACAACTGACTGTAAGGCTAGTGTCTCCAGCCTCTCTGACCATGGGACCTTTTTTGAATAACAAGGACTGCTGAACAGGTAGAGCATTCACCCGAAAATCAGGACAAGAGTGGCTTTTCCAGAAGTCCACTAATACAATTAGAAGGGTTTTAAAACAGTTAGGGGAAGCACTGTCATACTCCAAAGAAAAGACACAGGGACAATGAGGAACCACCTGGGGACAACAGGATGGCAAAGGTTCTCACATTCCCCTTCTGAAAACAGCTTTTGGGGCTCATCTTGGGTGTTGACATTCACACACACACAGGAATCATCCAGGAGGAGTAAGACACCCAAGCACAGTGGAGAGCTGCAACATCCCTGCAATTACAAAGACATGGTGGCATAAGTCACATGACTGAGTGCTTGGACACTTGGACACACGATTTTGAGGAAACACAAGGGGAAGTTGAAGAGGAGAGCTGTGCTCTGTGCAAAGGGGTGACTGGAGCACACAGGGCTTGCTTGGGACAGGCAATGTGCCATCAAGAGCTTAGGGGCCATAAGACTCCCCTGGATGATGTTGGGGGAGTCTGCTACAGATGGCCTGATCAAGAATAGACAAAGCCTTCGTTAGTCAGATGGAAGAAACCTCATGATCAACTGGCATGGTTCATGGGGGAATCTACTCACTCTGATAAATATTGAAAAGGCAAGAGAGTGGCATACAATTAATAGAGGAGATTTCTGGTGTGTCTCGACGACACTACAAAAGCATCTCCTTCAGCTAGAAAAATGGGCTGACTGGAAGCTCATAAACAAAAGTAAATGTAAAGTCCTGCACCTGGGATGGAATAACTTCATTGGATAAGGCTGAGCACTGACCACATAGAAGGCAGCTTTGCAGAAAAAGACCCAGGGTGTTTGCTAGACAACAGGTGAAGAATGAGTCAGCAGTGTGTCCCTGTGGCAAAGGCAAGGGCAAAATGACAAGTTTGCAACTCCACATATGAAAGACCTTTTACCATGAGGCTGGTCAGGCAGTGGAATAGGTGACCAAAGAGCTTGTTACATCTCCCTCCTTGGAGATACTCAGAATTTGACTGGTCAAGGTCCTGAGCAACCCGTTCTGAACAGAGCTGCTTTGAGCAGGAGATTGGGCTAGATGACCTCAGGAAGCCAGTCATCCTGCATGAGTCTAGCAGTCTGTACATCTACACTGGAAAACAAACAAGATTTTTAAAAAGTCCACAACAGTGAAAGAAATTACAAACTCATTTCATGTTGTGATTCTAATGGAACAAATCTAGAGTAGATAAGCAATTTAACAAGACTAGAGAGTATGTACCATTAACTTCTTTATTAGTTTCTCACACTATCCACTTAACAGATGAGTAAGACTCAAACTCAACTGATAGCCAATTAACATTTGATGCTAGCATGTGGCTTTTTTGGTGGGCAGGTAGCAAACTTGGTATTGATACAGGAGTTCTATCTATATAAAGATATTTAGATATTAAAGAAAATTTATGGCTGTCATGGGAATTCTGCACACATACTCAGGACAAAATTCAATTCCCAGAAAAATTGTGGCAGTAAGCTTTTAAGAAAAAGATATGCCCTTCAGAAGTGCCAAGAAACAAATGCAGGAACATATGCTATTGGAGTCAAAGATGTATTTTTAAATTAAAAAAAAAAAAAAAGAACTTACAAGTCTGGAAGAAAGCTATGTGATTTTCTTCTGATCTCTTATTCTGATCAGCCAATTCAAGGTAGATGTTTTTGCCCCTAATTAAGGATTCCCTTGTTCCATGCACTGGAGAAATTTCTGCTAAGATATTCTATAACCTGGAGATGATCTGCAACTAGAACTGTATGGAAAAAATTTATCTAAACTGTTTTCTGCATTGAAGTCATTAAAATTCTGCTTAGATGGAATTGGATATATTTGGAGATAATGACTCTGACATTACCAAGGAAACAAACTGATACAAAATGTCCTTTTAAAATATTTTAGGGTTATTAAAAATTTCATTTCAATGAAATTTTTCTTTTTTTTTCTTAAAATCATTTTTTTCCCTCCGAGAATATCTAACTTGCAAGAAAGTGAAAATATTTTCCTCCATGATCAGCACTCTAGTCACTTCATGCTGCATAGATTTGGAATCAAAAGAAATGTTTACCCATTCGAATTATGTCAGAAACACACTGGCTCCAATTCAGTCCTGGGCCTCAGGGCCTTCTCTTTCAGGCCACATTCAATGTTTGCCTC